GATACTCATGATTCACCTAGTTACTATTCGTTACCTCTCACCATCCGACTAGAGTGCCGTCGTCGAACTTAGTGATAGTCAAGCTTAAGGGACATGGGTATGATTTGTAATTTGTGGATGCTTTTACAAAAGTTTGTGAGACATCAACCACGGTCATGATGATTTATTACGATTGTATACCATCACCCAAGAGTGTTTTCTTTCTTTTTATTCGATTCGAGTGAAGGAGTGCGGCGGCGGTGGAAGTGACTGGAGCTGTTGTTTGTAGGTCCATCGCTGGACTTTGACTGGACTTTGAGCAAGGACTTCCAGACAAATGCAGCTCTCCTGTCCACGTCGGGCCAGACGGATGACGTCACGCGCGTCTCCAGAGCCGTCCCGGTGACAGCAGATGGTTCAGGGTAGCCTCCAGCTTACCGCCTCCGTGCCCGGTGCGTGCCCACGAAACCGGATAGGCTCCGCCAGCGAGCAGAGAGCCATTCTCATCTTCTTTGCCGCTTGTGCTTGCAATGCTGTGAATGTTTGGCTGTATTCACAAGTGACTTATTCAACAACAAAAATCCGAAAGAGTAGAAGGAATGAAGTCAAGTATTTCCACCTAACGCCCACAGGCGACATGCTACAGTTCAGACACATGGATCCAGGAACCGCTAGCTTGAAAGTTCAAAGGCATGCAGATTTCATTGCATTATGCCCTGTGATCTGTACATGCGAGACGACTGTCCGCGCTGCTCCCATCGGTAGTCATGAGCGCTGACAGCAGGGTCTGTGGACCACATTTAAGCCTGCCCGAGTCACGTTTGCGATGCGGTAGCCGCATGTGTGAGCTCTGGTTTTGCTCCCCCGCGGCGACCTCGAATCTCGGCCATCTCCCCAGGCGACCGCGGCACACATCGCCGCCCCAGGCTGTTTGTGGTCGGCCCTGGAGGCGATGACGATGCCAATCTGGACACCGCCGCGCGACACCAATTAGGCGGCGATGTTACGCGAGATGTGTCGACGCGTCATCCCGGCGTGACACGCCAGCCGGCGCCTGTCACGCCGCGTGAGGCGTGACGCGTGATGAGGCCGACAGCGGCCGATACGCCGGTCAGATGCGTGCGGAGGCGGCGCCGCGCTGGCCGAGCCGGCCTCGCAGCGCGGGTCATCGGCCCGGCCGCGGAGTGGCGGTCGGCCCGGGTCAGAGGGGGGGCTGGGCCACCAGCGGAGGAAGCTCCAGGCGCTGCTCGAAGGGACACCACCGACGGAGTTGGCTCCTGTGGCTGCTCTGATGGACACCACTGGCGGAGGCGGCTCCCGTGGCTGCTCTAATAGACACCACCGATGGAGGCGGCTCGCGTGGCTGCTCTGAGAGATACCACTGGCGAAGGCGGCTCCCGTGGCTGCTCTAATGGACACCACCGACGGAGGCGGCTCCCGTGGCTGTTCTGAGAGATACCACCGGCGGAGGCGGCTCCCGTGGCTGCTCTGAGAGATACCACTGGCGGAGGCGGCTCCCGTGGCTGCTCTAATGGACGCCACTGGCGGAGGCGGCTCCCGTGACTGCTCTAAAGGACACCACCGACAGAGGCGGCTCCCGTGGCTGATCTGATGGACACCACCGACGGAGGCGGCTCCCGTGGCTGCTCTAAAGGACACCACCGACGGAGGCGGCTCCCGTGGCTGATCTGATGGACATCACCGACGGAGGCGGCTCCCGTGGCTGCTCTAATGGACACCACCGGCGGAGGTGGCTCCCGTGGCTGCTCTGAGAGATACCACTGGCAGAGGCGGCTCCCGTGGCTGCTCTGAGGGATGATACCACCGGGGAGGGGGCTCCCGTGGCTGCTTTGTCGGATATAGGCCGTCGGCATCGGTGTCGGAGAGCTCGTTAGCTCCATTGCAGCGTATTGTATTCATGATGCAGGCCTCGCCGCTGGAGGCAACAGCAGCAAGGTGTTAACACCAGTACAGAATGCAGGGTTGTATAGCATCACACCGAAAGTTCTCCAGGTGAGAAGGGCTTCCAGTCTGTCCGCACGAGGTCACATGCCCACGGCAGGTTGATGGCAGGCTTCCGTACAATTTGACGAAACTACACAGAGACGTTCTTCCAAAAGGTTTGAAGCTCCTGCTCCTCAGCAATGGCCTCTGCTACTGAGCATCTCTGCTCAGCATCTCTGCCGCAGTGGGCGCTGGTTTTCGCAGAGTCGTTGATTCAGCTCACGTCCGTGGCAAAGAGCACAAGTGGCCGCATTCGTCGGCTCTTCTTCGGTTCCAGCGCACGCCCGACTTTCGAGCCTCCCCCAGCGCCGCGCAAACTTTTGCTGAATCGAGTTGGTTCGTCGCCGACGCGGCACAAACGCTCAGCCGACGGCGCAATAGAATTCAAAGCCTGATGACGGCGCTGGCGCAGCTGGAAAGGCCAGCGCTCCAATTAAAACCTCAGCCGCCGCGCCGGCAGCGCCGCCTGTTCCATTGTGGATGACGTCACAGCTGGCCGATCGTCAGCTGTCGCGCAGAAGAAACGGCAGGTGCCAGACGGTCACGTGACGCCCCGGCACACGGCGTTTCGGCGCATTGGAGCAAACGTATGGTAATGACGATGATTTGGCGCCCGTATTCCCGAAAGTGGTTAATCGATGAGTCGCAGCTCGGCTTACTTTGAAATTTCTTTAACACGCGCTCGGGTGGGGGTTGGTCAAATTGACCCCCCCCCCCAAAGGTTTTCCAGAATGGTTTCCGAACGGCGCGGCGTGGCCGCGCCAAATTTTGCGTGGCTGTAGACAATTGAATAGCGCATCGTTTAGTATCAAAACATTTAGATGTACCTTGTAAGGTCGCTGACCAATGGCAGGTCAAAGTCAGGCCATGCTTTCAGCGAAGTCAGTCTCTAGAAAATCGTTCAATCTGATGCAACAGCGGAGTGTAAACAAAGCCATGCATCTCTGAGATGCTTTCTTAGGCAACACAAATATTCAATGAGCAACTTTCGTTGACCAAAGTCAGGTATGTAGGTCAGACGAAGGTCAAAACCAGCCTGTTTTATTACTCTAGGGCTTGCTGTATGGAATAGTTTGTGGTGCTCGTTTCAAATTTATTTATGGCAGGAACCACATTGTGCATCTTCTATGGACTTTTGGAGGTCAGACTAGGTCACTGACCCAAAATGACCCAAGTCAACATTTTGTTAATATACTGCCTAGCGTAGTCTTTGTCACTCATTCAAACACAAAACTCAGAGCAGTCATGCGGTTTTGGTCACTATGGCCTTCAAAAGGTCAGACAAGGTCACTGACCCTAGATGAGCATGTGACCGTTTTGCTTAGAAAGAGTTATCTAGGTTCTGGAGGCACTTTAAGAACAACTTGGAATTTTACTCTGACCTTATTTGACCGGAATTTCATAACCTAAGAACCTCAAACTTGACCTAAATGAGTTCACGTACAGGTCAACATACTCTGTAAATTTGGAATATCTAGCTTTCTTAGTTCTCGATATCTCAGGGGGGGGGGGGGGGTCAAATTGACCCCAATCCGAGCGAAGAGTATCTAGCCGGCCAGCCGTGCGCGTGTTAAAAGTGAAATTGATAACCAGTTCCATCACCTCAGTTAAGCAGATAGTCACTAGTGATATGACCACAGTGAAATGAACGCGAACGTGAAAAAAACAAGAAGTTCCGGGTACGGTGCAACAAGATGAAAACGGGCCGGTTGTAAACTTGTATATGAAAAATACAACCAAGAGCATTTGATGGCATGAGCGACGCAAAGCAATGTCGCTCAAACCAAGATATTTCTAATATGTCGTCACCTTGGCGGTGTATATAGCCAGTGCTCGTGCAGCAGCAGCGTAGCCAGGAGAGAGCGTTTGGGGTCATGACCCTTCCCCGGGCGGTGGTGGGGCCTCTGGGGCCGAACGCACCATACCGTTTGCTGTTTAGCACGCGCGCAGACTTGTACAACATAAACGACTGTCCCAAGGCATCACAACAGGAAATCCAGTCTAACAGGGTCATCCGAACACGAAAACAGGTCCTCATCGCAGCGAATACGGTCCCATTGACTAAAACGGCGCCTATGATCCAAGTTGGCTCCATCCTGAATGAAATCTTGGATACGTCACTGTCATGCGTAGCCAGTTGGGATGTGTCCGGCTCAAACATGGCTGGTCTGGGATGTGTCCGGCTTAGACATGACTGATCGGATGTGGCGTGGCCGGCTGTGATTGTGACGGCTGCGATTGCAGGGATTTTACGGGGACCAGCGCCCGCGGCGATCGACTGGCTACATTATCGTCTGCCTTGAAATATTCTTTCCTGTCGGCTTCCCTGCTCGCCAAGCCTGAGAAATCAAGATGGGCCCGTTGTGCGTTAGGCGGTATCTTGGCAGCAAGCGAGCGATCAAAGGCCTCCCCGCAAGATTGCCGAAAACATTCCGCCCACGCTCCATTGCCCAACTTTCGGATGTTACCGACATAATTTCAACAAGCCGTGACAGTGAAAAACCATAGCGAGTGCATGGAACACACAGCCAGCATGGGCGACGACCATTTAGAAGAGCAGTGTCCACCTGCCACTAAGCTGACGTGACCTGAGCTGTGGTGTCGAGAGCAGGCCGGTCACCAGGGGTCGCGGATGTCGAGCACGGCAGAACGTGAGTCGGCAAAGCATGAGTCGAGCCGTCGGCAGAGCGTGAGTCAAGCGGTCGGCAGAGCGTGAGTCGGCAGAGCGCCGGATCGAGCGGTCAACAGAGGGTGAGTCGGCAGAGCGCGAGTCGGCAGAGCGCCGGGTCGAGCGATCGGCAGAGCGTGAGTCGGCAGAGCGCCGGGTCGGGCGGTCGGGAGAGCGTGAGTCGGCAGAGCGCCGGGTCGAGCGGTCGGCAGAGCGTGAGTCGGCAGAGCGCCGGGTCGAGCGGTCGGGAGAGCGTGAGTCGGCAGAGCGCGAGTCGGCAGAGCGCGAGTCGGCAGAGCGCGAGTCGGCAGAGCGTGAGTCGGCAGAGTGTGAGTCGGCAGAGCGTGGGTTAGCAGAGCGTGAGTCGGCAGAGCGTGAGTCGGCAGAGCGCCGGGTCGAGCGGTTTCGACCAGTGTCCTGGAATCAGCGGAACCAGAGCACATGACCAATGTCATGGAACCAGCGGAACCAGAGCACACGACCAGTGACGTGGAATCAGCTGAGCCAGAACACACGACCAGTTTCAGGGAACCAAGTTAAGGCTGGCATGCGCGTACTGTACATACAGAACACTCGCTGTGACCACCGCACCAGTGGCGCATGGTTTTCAAAAATCATTCGCAGGGCCTGTGCTAGGGTGATGAAGCTGTTGTAAGCAGTGGTGTTTTCCCCTGATTTGGGCTCTTTTATGAATTACCAAAGAATAATGATCTCGTCACTTCTTCGATTTTGTTGCTCGTTACTCATTGCCCCTGTTCTAGGCTTGTTTTTGCTCGCATTGGTTATGTTTTTCATGAAACTGAATATTTCAGCTGAGGGTCTTCCTGACAGATTGTGAGCTTTGTACTGCGGGTTGAGTGACACGTGGGGCGGCCGCCGCGAGTTTTGGGTTGGGGCGGGGATTTTCAAGGGGGCCTCCTGGACAAATAAGCCTTCTCGCAGACGGCCTCCTGCGCAGTGTCGTATTCCAGGTGAAAGACACCGTGAACACATTTTCCATTATCAAACTTCTGCATTATCATATCCAAGTAAATAAGTGTGTACAGAGGAAAATCTTGAATGGGAAGCTTCCAATTATTCCGAAATGGTTCTTGCCAACCAAAACAGGCCTCCGGTTCCATAAAGAGCCTCCCGATGAACAGAAGGGTCTCCTTATGCAGAACTAAATAATTGCGATCAGGGGTGTCACTCCGCATACTTTGGGGGGGGGGGGCTGAATCCCCAATGCTGACTTGGGCCCCCAATGCTCTTCAGGGCACCCTTGATTCCAGAAATGGAGCCTCCTGAATATAGGGAGTGCTTCATAAAGCAGCACAGGGTCTCCTCGCTTGTAACATGGGGCTCGCGAGCCACCAAAAGGGCCCCTGAACACTACGCTAGACTTCCTGATCTGGCGCATTGGCTACCTTATCCATAAAGGTGACCTAAGAACACAGACAACGTGTCTCTTGATGCAGCAAAGGGTCTTCTAAGACCGATTTATTACTCCCAAGCTCAGTTATGGAGGCCTCCTTGATCTGTATTCTGGCACTTAACGTATAGCTATAATGCCTTTAGTTGTGTAAATAGGGCCTCCAATTTTCTTACTTTGGTTTAAAGCACACTCTTCTCACAGCCCACTGGTGGGGAGAGGGGGGGGGGGGAACAGCCGCCTCCTCAGCCGCCCCTCTTCCCCACCCCCCTACACCCTCTACGCCGCCCTTGGTGGCACGAGCCGTTCCAACTGAGCACTGTCCCAGGCCCCTGCGCCACGGCACGAAGTGCAGCAGCGGTGCGCCGTTCAAAGAAAACGATTACAAACCGCAGAAGAGAGACCAGCTTTATGGGCCGTGTAATCGGAAGCATTCTCTGATAACACTTAGCTGGGACTAAAGAGTACACGCGGTAGCAAATAAAGCCGGGTGCGGTCCGATTGCGCAAGTAATGCGCTTTGGGGATTGAGATTCTGAGGCTTCCAAAATCCACATTGCTTTCTGCACGGCCGGGCAGAACAAAATCAAACGGGCGGCCCGGTAGGATGTCGCTTTGAGGCTCTCCAATCGGGTCCTGCGTAGTCGATAACGATGAGCCTCCGGGTCTCTTGGAACCCGGGGTGGGGGGTGGGGTGGGGGGGGGGGGGGGAGGGAATGGCGTGCCCCCGCTGGCGCAACGAGTTATACTCAAATGCTCAGGTTCAGGTCCACTGTGTTCTGAATGCACCTGGCGAGGTCTGTGATCAGCTGTACGCGCTGGGACCACCCGACGCGTAGCTTCGACTCGTCGGAGGGTGTCACCTGTGCAATCTCAGGTGGTTTGAGATCATCTGTACTGTGCTGCGGTCGAGCGGCGTACTCCCGGCGCACCCCAGATCGCCTGGGGCACCTGAGACGGCCCGGTGCTCTCAGGCCACGCGGCGCGTAGTTCAGCGGCTCCGGGGCAGTATCAGGCAAGGCTGCCTTACACGGGAGCTCGGCGGCGCCATGGGATGCTCGAGTTTTGTGGTCGACCGTCGATGACGATCTTAGCTCGGATAACTGCGCCGGCGGCCTGTAGTGGCAGGCGCCGGCGGCCTGTGGTGCCGGGCACCTGCGGTCTGCAGTGTCGGGCGCCGGCGGCCTGCGGTGCCAGGCGCCGGCGGCCTGCGGTGCCAGGTGCCGGCGGCCTGCAGTGCCGGGTGCCGGCGGCCTGCAGTGCCGGGTGCCGGCGGTCTGCGGTGTCGGGCGCCGGCGGCCTGCGGTGCCAGGTGCCGGCGGCCTGCAGTGCCGGGTGCCGGGCGGCCTGCAGTGCCGGGTGCCGGCGGTCTGCGGTGCGGGCGCCGGCGGCCTGCGGTGCCAGGCGCCGGCGGTCTGCGGTGTCGGGCGCCGGCGGTCTGCAAGGGTCGGGCGCCGGCGGCCTGCGGTGCCAGGCGCCGGCGGTCTGCGGTGCCGGGCGCCGGCGGTCTGCAGTGTCGGGCGCCGACGGTCTGCAGGGTCAGGCACCGGCGGTCTGCAGTGTCGGGCGCCGGCGGTCTGCAGTGTCCGGCGGTCTGCAGGGTCGGGGGCTGGCGGTCCGGCGGTCTGCGGTGTCGCGTGCCGGCGGCCTGCAGTGCCGGCCGCCCGGGCTGTTTACTTCTCCGGCGTGTTTACGGAGGCATCACGCGGCGTGAGGCCTGCGTGACGCCGGCCGACGAATGCCGGCGTCCGGAATGCGCGTCGACGTGAGTGATTGCGGCATGCATTTGTAACTCTTCCACGGATGGGTGTTTGTTCAGATCTGGGGCAAAAATCACCGCTCGGAGGTGCATGAGATTCCGCTCAGAGTGAGCGTTGCGAACTCCACAGCCTGCGGGAGCTTTCGCAGAACTACGGCATCACCCGCTCCTGGGCTGCCACGGCTCGTTGTTCCGGTCATCACAAACACGTTGCATCAAGGCAAGATGCAGTCAGGTTTCTCGAATTCGTGTCCAGAGCCTATTTTCTCGTGACTGATTTCTGTGTGACACAATACCAAGAGAAATGGGAACATTTTGTCCGCGTTTAGAGCTCCACCACGTGGCAGCAACCGAGCCGTTTAAGGCCGGGGACCAGATGTTTGTCTGCATAGCAGGCGGCCATAATTTCCGTTCATGCTTTTATAGGACAAACACACAGCCTACGTTATATGTTTGGTGGTACGTTTTGACAATGGATGGCGGTCTGGCAGCTGAGCAGGGCCGGCAGTGGTGCAGACCGGCGGACGCCGCAGCGCTGCCGCAGATGCAGACGGGCGCACAGGGCCCTGTCCTGGCGTGTCCCGACCGCCGGTCGACACGTGCGGGACCGGCGGGCGCACAGGGCCCTGTCCGGGCGTGTCCCGGCCGCCGGTCGACAAGCGCGGGACCGGCAGGCGCACAGGGCTCTGTCCGGGCGTGTCCCGGCCGCCGGTCGACACGCGCGGGACCGGCAGGCGCACAGGGCCCTGTCCTGGCGTGTCCCGACCGCTAGTCAACACGTGCGGGATCGGCAGGCGCACAGGGCCCTGTCCGGGCGTGTCCCGGCCGCCGGTCGACACGCGCGGGACCGGCAGGCGCGCAGGGCCCTGTCCGGGCGTGTCCCGGCCGCCGGTCGGCACGAGCGGGACCGGCGGGCGCACGGGGCCCTGCCTGGGCGTGTCCCGGCCGCCGGTCGACACGTGCGAGGACCGGCGGGCGCACAGGGCCCTGTCCGGGCGTGTCCCGGCCGCCGGTCGGCACGCGCGGGACCGGCGGGCGCACAGGGCCCTGTCCGGGCGTGTCCCGGCCGCCGGTCGACACGCGCGAGGCCGGCTTATAAGCATCGACAGCCTGCTCAATATCGGCCGCCGGCATTGGCGCAGAAGTGGAGCATGCCTCTATATGGCGGGAGGCGGCCGTCACGTGCGATGCCGCCGGCCGAGCTGGCGATTTATGGAGCCGGCGGCCCCGCAGCCGGCGGAGAGCGGGCGCGCCCTGGCCGCAGACTGATATCTTGTGACGAACGAGCTGCGATTACCGTGGCTGTTCTGGAGTCAGCCGTGTCCGCCCGGACCAGCTTTGCCACGCCGGGAGCCGGCACGACGCTGGGATTCATACGCAGCCATGCGGACGCACGCACGCATGGCATGTACTGCCTCAGACCGAGTGGGTGCCGGGAGTGAAGTGGTCAGGTTGCGCACCTGGGCAACCAGACGCACCGGGTTTGTTTGTTCGCGGTGCCCGCCCTTCCATCCAGGGCGGGCGGCAGGCGAGATGCCCCAACAGCCGAGTACGATGTAAAGCCCCCCAAATTATCTGACTTAAGGGCTGTTCATACATAACATTGCGCAGGGAGGGGAAGGTTTTGATAAGCTGTGAGCGAAATATAACAAGGGGGAGAGTTGGACAGCGTAACATTACACTCGGGTATTGTCAGAAGTTATGCTCAAGCCTTTTCAAATGCTCTAAAACTTACAAGCCGGACATCGTTGACTTCCTCGCGTGACACGCGCGCGCCGTCTCTGCCTCGCACCTCTAGCTCGATTAGGGACCCAACAAACGTCACAGATTTGGTAAGTTACATTTAAAACAGCGTAACCAGGGAGGGATGGGGAGGGGGGGGGGGGAGCTGCCCAACGTAATCAGTGCACAGCGTGGAAAGACGGATTGAAAATTACCAAAAATGTGTAACGTTATCCAAGCACGGCCCTTTACCTGCGGGCCAGGTCAGCAAAGTTAACCTCCCTTCGCGCACATGGGTCAACATCCTGACGGGCAGTGATCACAGATTCTTCAGATACTAGCCTGCCTTCTATGAAGACGCGCGTTGACTACGACCTGACTCACTTTATTTTGAACAGATAAAATTACAGGTGCTTCGAATGCCTGCACTTGCACAGCCAGTGGCCATGTAACGCGTTCGCTCACACTAACCACTGTTGTGCCCTTTCCCAGGTACTGCTCACAAGCGAGACGCCGCGCCCGCCCGCGGCCAGGTGATTGTCAGCGCCCGGTCACTCGCGCTGGAAACACCGCTGGTTAGCGCATGATATACGATGGCGGATTGGCCGGTGGGATGGTGCTCTCGTCATTGCACGTGTGTTGTTCTAGCGTAGTGAATTATCAGTGCCTTGTTCAACGTCGTATTTAGATAATTTCTTGCCTCCTCTTTTCAAAGATGAATTGCAACGTGTCAGAGGCAATGTTAAAACAATCAAGCATTACAAGATCACTGATCATGACTGATTGATACTGACTGGTCGGCACGACCTCACGTTCTCGTGGCGGCCGCGACAGTGCTGTTGATCTTTTGTTTGAGGCTGTACTTCCGGAGAGCCCCGCCCAAACGGCAAATCCAGATCTGCACATCGGGCATGTGGAAACGCATGGAATGAGCCCCGCTACGAATTTAAACATAGTTCCAAATCCCGCATCAATTTTTGGAAACGGCCTTCCCGTACCACAGCTGACGGAGATTACAGGGTCCGACACCCAACATAGATCAGACTTCCTCATGAGGCCATTGGGAAATGCGGCGGCACGACCTCTACAGCTGGGCGCGGAGACCATGCGGCGGCACGACCTCTACAACTGGGCGCGGAGACCATGCGGCGGCACAACCTCTACGGCTGGGCGCGGAGGCCATGCGTCACAGGCAACCGCTGGTTTATCGAAGCGCGTGCAGCACAGCGCCAGCGCTGTGCGGTCTGGTGACGAGAGGACCGGTGCAGGACTCACAGCTGAATGTGAAGGAGCGGCAGTTTGGTCACCAGATGTCTCAGAGCAGTCTCGGGTTTAATCCCGCAATTGTTGGACGCGCAGCGAACTGTGTATCTAGGGACCCCTGAGAACCTTCTGCCTGTGCGCGTGCTGTGACAGCACGAAACAGACGTCAGAGGTCTCTATGACGGACAGCAGAGTAAATATGACATAGTAATTAATGCGTCGCAGTGGTGGGACGCATGGGTCAGATAAGAGGACGCCCACAACGCTAGAAAAGTCCGTGAATGCGCAGCACATGGAGGTATGTCTTCACAGCACATGCGCACCCGGCTCCCTCGTACCTGGCACACAACATCGCGAGCCTCAAACAGCCACCGCACGGGCGTTTTCCAGTTTATTCCGGTTGTAAATTCACTACAACAGAGCGCGTCCATCTTGACAGCACTCAACATCACCCACGCGGGCACAGGGCCTCAAAGCGGCCGCATGTCACTATCATAGGGTGCAGACATGAAAATCACGCCGCCCGCGCTAACGTCTCTTCTGCCAATAATACCGCGCCGCCGGTCGTGATGACGTCACACTCGACCAATGCCGCCGCAGCGTCGGTCCTAGCGCCACACGGCGGGCGCACGGAATGTTCGGCCCGGGTCCGACGCGATGCGCTCCCCCTCACCGACAGGTGCCCTCCTGAGCACGGCCAGCCGCCTGCTGCCGCGGCGCTGGTCTGGCCCGCGTCCCCGACGGCTTCCCGGCACCGCCGCCGGGGCAGAGCGTCACGTCACGTCACCGCGCGCCGTCACGTGCACGCGTCACGGGCGTCCGAAGTCGCCGTTGCCTCCGCTCGCCTGTTGCGGGCGCAACGCCGCGCGTCATCCAACGGCTGCTGGCCCCGTAGCTTGACCGCGCCGGAAGAGTCGGCGCTCCCGCAGCCCTCTCTGTCAGCTGACCCACGGCGGCCACCTGAACCCTGCCGTCTTCTGGCCTCGTGGGGACGTCTATGAAAATAGTGTACAGCGATGATGTGTGTCCGTCGCGGCGCCGCCGTCGCCGCCGCCGCCCGGGCTCAGGTCTCGTGCCCCGCGCCCGGCTCGGTGGCGGCCGGCTGGCAGACCTAGCGGCGTCTGTTGCGCTCTTCCTCTTCGCTCTCGTAGCCCGGACTGCTGGGGCTGTAGGTGGGGCTGGTCGGACTGTAGCCCGGCGTCGTCGGACTGTAGGTGGGACTGGTGGGGCTATACTTGGGGCTGGTCGGACTGTAGCCGGGACTCGTCGGACTGTAGGTCGGCGAGCCCGGCGAGTATGTGGGGCTGGTCGGCGAGTACTTGGGGCTCGTCGGCGAGTACTTGGGCGAGCTGGGGCTGTAGGACGGCGAGGTGGGCGAGTAGGTAGGGCTGGTAGGGCTGTACTTGGGGCTGGTCGGGGAGTACTTGGGCGAGCTGGGGCTGTACGCTGGCGACGCCGGGCTGTACGTGGGACTCGTCGGACTGTACTTGGGCGAGCTGGGCGAATAGCTTGGGCTCGTAGGCGAGTACTTGGGAGAGCTAGGCGAGTAGCTGGGACTCTGCGGCGAGTACTGCGGCGACGTGGGCGAGTAGCTCGGGCTGGTCGGCGAGTAGCTCGGGCTCGTCGGACTGTAGCCTGGTGATGACGGACTGTAGTTAGGGCGAGCTAGGCGAGTAGCTCGGGCTCGTCGGCGAATAGCTCGGGCTTGTCGGCGAGTAGCTCGGACTGGTTGGCGAATAACTCGGACTTGTCGGGCTGTAGGACGGACTCGTGGGTGAGTAGGATGGCGATGTGGGCGAGTAGCTCGGACTGGTTGGCGAATAACTCGGACTTGTCGGGCTGTAGGACGGACTCGTGGGTGAGTAGGATGGCGAAGTGGGCGAATAGCTGGGACTCGTCGGTGAGTAGCTGGGACTCGTCGGACTGTAGCTGGGGCTGGTTGGACTGTAGCTGGGGCTGGTGGGACTGTAGTTGGGGCTGGTGGGACTGTAGCTGGGGCTGGTCGGACTGTAGTTGGGGCTGGTGGGACTGTAGCTGGGGCTGGTCGGACTGTAGTTGGGACTGGTGGGGCCCAGGCTGGGCGAGGTGGGCACGTAGCCGGGCGACGAGGGGCTGTAGCTCGGCGACAGTCCGCCACCGGGGCTGGCTGGCTGCGGAGACCAGCCGGGCGAGTAGCCGGGCGACAGGCCGGACGCATCGCTGCTGCTGCTGGGCGAGAAGCCCGGCCCGCCGGGCGTCATGCCGCTGCCCATGCCCGGCGACCAGACGCTGGCGTACGCCGGCGTCGCACTCTGGTTCCAGGGCGTCATCACTGGCGACATGCCCGAGCCGGGCGTGGCCGCCGAGCCGAAGAACATGCCGACGCCCATGCCGGCGCCCAGCGTCATCGGGATCTCGATGCCATGCTTGCACTTCTCGGCGTCCAGCAGCAGGTCGAAGCACCCTGCCGAGGGTTGCGCCATCACGTCACGGTCAGGACAGCGGGCTGCGGCGGCTATAGCCACGAACTAACCACGACGGCCAACGCGCCTTGCCACATATTTCCGTCCAATTCACACCTACATAGACTTCACACATTTGGCCGCCTTTCCCACGCCGTTTACTAGGGTCAGACTGCTAGACTGCTGGGCCAGGGTGTTGGACACTGCTCCTAAATTTCTCTGGTCTTCTCCCAGACATGCCTCCCCAAAAACAAACAAACACACAGTTTTAGGCGCTGGTGATGGGTCAGGTGGACGTCGCGCGGCCATACAGCTCTCCGCCAGAAGCGGCTTCAGCCGCGGTGTCAGCTCCCACAGCATTGGCCAGGTGACGGCCGGACAGGTCAGGCCAGGGCCCCACACTCTGCGTCAGGAGCTCGGCCCGGACGCGGCACCGACCGCAGCGCACGCCGAGGCCGGCAGCCGACGCCGGGGCCGGCAGCCGACGCCGGAGCCGGCAGCCGACGCCGGAGCCGGCAGCCGACGCCGGGGCCGGCAGCCGACGCCGGGGCCGGCAGCCGACGCCGGGACTGGCAGCCGACACCGGACCGGCAGCCGACGCCGGGGCCGGCAGCCGACGCCGAGGCCGCAGCCGGCGCCGGGACTGGCAGCCGACGCCGGAGCCGGCAGCCGACGCCGGAGCCGGCAGCCGACGCCGGGGCCGGCAGCCGACGCCGGAGCCGGCAGCCGACGCCGAGGCCGGCAGCCGAGCCGGAGCCGGCAGCCGACGCCGGAGCCGGCAGCCGACGCCGAGGCCGGCAGCCGACGCCGGAGCCGGCAGCCGACGCCGAGGCCGGCAGCCGACGCCGGGCCGGCACAGCCGACACCGGGACCGGCAGCCGACGCCGGGGCCGGCAGCCGACGCCGGGGCCGGCAGCCGACACCGGGACCGGCAGCCGACGCCGGGGCCGGCAGCCGACGCCGGGGCCGGGAGCCGACGCCGGGGCCGGCAGCCGACGCCGAGGCCGGCAGCCGACGCCGAGGCCGAGGCCGGCAGCCGACGCCGGGGCCGGCAGCCGACGCCAACGCCGGCAGCCGACACCGAGGCCGAGGCCGAGGCCGGCAGCCGACGCCGAGGCCGACAACCGACGCCGAGGCCGGCAGCCGACGCCGGGGCCGGCAGCCGACGTCGGGGTCGGCAGCCGACGCCGGGGCCGGCAGCCGACGCCGAGGCCGGCAGCCGACGCCGAGGCCGGCAGCCGACGCCGAGGCCGGCAGCCGACGCCGGAGCCGGCAGCCGACGCCGGAGCCGGCAGCCGACGCCGGGGCCGGCAGCCAACGCCGAGGCCGGCAGCCAACGCCGGGGCCGGCAGCCAACACCGGGGCCGGCAGCCGACGCCGGAGCTGACCCATTCCGGCGATAATTGCTCCCAACATCTTCGCAGCGCGACCGTTAGTGTCTGTCATCATTAGCTTTAATGACATCAAAGCTTCGTAGAGCATTAGGCGCCCGCGCCGGCCATAAAATTACGCAGAGAATTCGTTCGCACACGATTTCCCACACCGGAAGTTCACCGCACGCAAGGGATGGCCACCAATAATTTTGCGCGACTGTGATTGCGTTAACACGCCTACGTAAGGCAAGATGGTAATGTAAGCTTAAACGTGCGAACAGGCACGCTTATTTTTGGAGTAAACAATTTATTTATCAAAGACTCGATTACGGAGCGTGAACAAACTTCAGTCAGTCGACATCCGGGGCCACCAGAAAAAAAACATTTCATCTGAGCCACAGGAAGCTACATCAACGCCTCGCCCGAATTGCAAAAGCGGAATATAATTTGATCAAACCATGACGATTGAGACTTGCTTCTACTTACGTGTATTTGTGCCATACAATTTCATACAATATTATAGATGCATTCGATGAGAACCTTAGCCTCACCCCTCTCCAGCTGACATAACCCCACTCCAGGTGGCCTGACCCTTCTCCAGCTGGCCTAACCCCACCCCAGCTGGCCTGACCCCACTCCAGCTGACCTGACCCCACTCCAGTTGACCTAACCCTTCTCCAGCTGACCTGACCCACTCCAGCTGACCTAACCGCACTCCAGCTGATCTGACCCCACTCCAGCTGGCCTGACCAAACTACAGCTGGCCTGACCCCACTCAAGCTGACCTGACCCTTCTCCGGCCGATCTGAACCGAGTCCCACTGACCTGTGCCCACTCCAGCCAGCTGTCCGACCATGATCTTCTCGGAGACACCCCGGAGCGGGTCGACCTCGGCGTGGGCTGCCGCGTCCATCAGCACGTCCACAGTCTCCTCGAACGAACACCTGGCGGCGCACGGCACGGTCACCACCCGCAGAATAACTGCGCGTCCCTCAGCGCGTCCACCCAAGACTCGCATGTCGCCCCCACCAGCTGGGCCTTCTATTCCTCAACTGCACACTTCCCACACGGCGCAAACAGATAAGCATGGTCGCAGGCATCGTCCATGACGCAACAAACCTACAATCAGACGTAAAACGCATTAGACAAGTGGACAAAGCGATGCCTTCGCTCAGCCATCGACGCGAGCGGGCAAGAAAGGACGAATAAGACCACGGACGCCCAGACAAACGCGACGACCAACAATGACCAACACAGCCCAGACCGGAACGTGCCAAGGGACACAAGTGCTCGACACCGGCCCGAGCGGGCACCTCAGGGATCGCGGGCGCCGACAGTGGCCGGCCGGCCGGCCGGGGACTGACCTCATGAGGGCGCCCGTGTCCTGCCGGTTGATGCCGTGTCGCGTGATGGCCATCAGGTGGCCCTTGGAGGTCATGACCTCGCACAGCAGCGCCAGGTGGCGGTAGTTGACGTAGAGGCCGTAGAACTGCAGCACCGTGTTCATTTCCTTCTCGATACACTTGCGCACGGCCTCGATGCCCATGACGGAGAAGATCTCACAGATGTCGTTGGAGAAGGTGCGCACGGGGTCGACATCACGCTCGCTCAGCACCTGTGCGCAGGGAGGCCGGTCAGACGGATACGGACGGCCGCCGCCCCCGACGGCCCACCAGCCGCGGCACGAGCAGAGCCCACCGGCCGCGGCACGAGCAGAGTCCGCCAGCCGCGGCATGAGCAGAGCCCACCAGCCGCGGCACACAGGTTTGTTCTTCCGTACCATCGGCACTTTTGACTATCATACATCCGGAAAGTAATGTGCAACACCACTGCAATGCAATACGCTGGCAGCGTTGAGCACTGCGCGCTGTGTGCCCCTGTATCTGGTGACTGGACGGGAGCGAGGCGGGCCGAGCGGGTCTGACCAGCGGCCAGTCGTGGCAGCGGGGGCGGCTGGGCAGCCGGGCCGATGCAACAACCGAATAACGAGGACACCGGCCCGCCGCGGCTCAACCAAACGGCCAATACAGCCGCTGCCGACCGGGACACCAGCGGCCACCGCTGCGCCCAAACACCGCCCAAACAGCGGCGCCGACAGCCCGAGCGGCCGTCCCGTCACAATGCCGTGACATTGCCGAGCCGGCGCGCATCACAGGAGCGTGCCGGCCGGGCGGCCGCCCTACCGGCCGCACTCAGCACGGCACCAGCCACACTCGGGGATCACGAGCTTCGCCACCCGCCCCCTGGACTATGCAGCCCCCTCTCAGGACCACGACCCGCTCTCAGGGACGCCACGCCCCTCTCCCGGAGACATCGTCCCGCCTCCCGGCGGGACTGTGTCCCTCACCCCAACGACACTACGTCCTTCCTGCCGGGGGCACAGAGCACCGCTTTTGTTGTTGATTGGTGTTTTCGGGCGCGCCGACTGCAGCGGTCATTTGGCGCCCAACTGGCGCCCAGCGGTCATTTGGGCACAGAGCACCGTGCCTGACAGCACCGCCAGGGCGCCGGGCAGCACCGCGTCCGCCCTCCTCACCTTCATCAGCGACGTGCCGTCCGTCTCCAGCAGCCACTCGGCGATGTGCTTGAACTCGCCCGTCTCCGTGATGACGATGCGCTTCTTGTTCTCCGTCGACGGCAGGTGCATGTACACCTTGCTGATGGACTCGATGCCCTGTCGAGCGGGGGCGGCCGTCATGACACCGATCAGCCGCAGCGAGCGGGTCGGGCAGCCCGGCCTGACAACGGCAGGTGTCACCACGCGGCGTGACCACAATCAGCCGCAGCGAGCGGCAGCGGGCAGCCCGGCCTGACAACGGCAGGTGTCACCACGCGGCGTGACCACGATCAGCCGCAGCGAGCGGGGGCGGGCAGCCCGGCCTGATATCGGCGGACGTCGCCTGGCGGCGCGCTCCGCCATATCACGTCCCGGAGAAAGCCGACTGATAGAGACCAACAAAAGGGCCCGCAGAGCCTGGAGAGTCATGTTGAGCGGCCACTCCCCTGCAGTCATGCTGCTGTGCCGTGACTCACCTCTGGAATCATGCCACTCAGTCCGACTCGCCTGCCGACCCGTCACCGAGATGCGACCACCCACCTGCAGAGTCATGTCGCTGAGCATGTTGGCCTCGATGCAGCGGAGGAACATGTCGTCCTCCATCTTGTCCATCTGCTCGTCCTCGTCGGCGAACTTGGAGTCGTCCGAGTTCATGATGCGGATGCGCAGCACCAGCTTCTCGGCGTTGTCGTCATTGAAGATGCAGTTCAGGTCGTCGCCAAAGCCGGCGTTGATCTTCTCAGAGATCTGCTCCATGGTCAGCTTCTTGTCTGTGGCCGGCAGCGGGGTGGTGAGGCGGCGCGGGCGGACAGCAGGCGTCGACACAGAACAGAGCTGCTCGCAGTCCAGACAGCCAGTTTTCGGCACCAAAAAAGGAAGCTGACTGGCATTTGATAACAGTTTCGGCAAACCCGGCACAGCCATGATCCATCGAATTATCGTGAGGTTAAATTTGGCAGAAATTTCTTCGTCAATCAATAATTCCTTCATTAACATTAAAATCAGAAGTGAATGCCGCACCTCACTGCTACTTGGTAGTCATATAAGGCTCAAGCTTTGACAGCGATGATTTCGAGTCCTTTAATGATCACCGACGCAAACATACATCCCCATTCGAAGCAAACATGTCACGAGCTGACATTTACCGCCGCATTTCGTTGGACCGCACTAAAAAATCTAACAACACGAGTCCACACACATGTCCACAGAGAGATGAAAATTACACCCATACTTTGTTTACCTGCCTTAAGACACCTCTTTTTTGCCACTGGCGCGAACAAAAACAAGCCGCAGCAACACCAGAGGCCGGACCGAGCGCGCGCGGTGACGGCAGCCGCCCTGGCTGGCACTCACCAGTCATCCGCTTGCGGTCCAGCTCGATGCGCAGCAGCCAGGGCGAGATGCGGGTGGGGTCGAAGTCGGGCATCTCGTAGTAGACGTTGACGAACTCCTGGTCCTCGGCGATGACCGTGTTCTGCGGGTCGGGGTCGTAGTAGATGGCCGTGTTGGCCGTGACCTTGCGCAGCGTGGTGTGCTCCAGCCGACACAGCACGTTCTTGGCCTTTTCGGCGTCACGCGCGCTGGCGCCCGTCAGGAACACCGTCAGCGACGGCGCCTTCGGCTTCTTGCTCACGTTGATGATCTCCTTGAGGCGCGGCACGCCGAGTGTCACGTTCTTGGACGACACGCCGGCGAAGTGGAATGTATTGAGCGTCATCTGCGTGGCGGGCTCGCCGAGCGACTGCGCGGCCAGCGCGCCCACCATTTCGCCCGGGTTGGCCATGGCCTGGTGGAAGCGGGTGTCGATCTCGCCGATCAGCCACTCGAACGCCTCCGAGCTGAGCCGGTACTCCTCGGCCACCCGGCGCGTGCACAGCGTCGAGCGCACTAGGCACGAGAACAGGATGGTGGCGTTGGCGTTGGCCGTCTTCGAGAGCTGGTCCTCGCCGCGCACCACCACGCAGCGCGACAGCAGCGTGCGCACGCCCTCCAGCACCTTCAGCGGACTCAGGTCGGTCGGCTCCGTCTTCTTGATGTGGAAGATCTTCTGGCCGTTCCAGATCATACGCTCCAGGTTGCAGGGCAGCACGACGCGGCTCTCGCCGGTGGGGAAGATCTGGCGCAGCTCCTGCCGGTCTCGCGAGAGGCTCTCCCACTCGCGCTCCAGCTCGCCGATCATCTCGCCCGAGCCCATCAGGTCACGCACGATGTCCTCCTGGAAGACGCGCCGCAGGTGCCGCTCGTTGGTCGTCTCGAACTTGAACTTGCGCCGGAACGCCGCGTCCGACAGCTTGATGGTGGACAGCGACTGGAACTCGACGAACTCGCCGGCCAGGCCGTCCTCGCCGTAACGCAGCTGCACCAGCTGCGCCACAGAGTTGCGCACGGTGCCGTCGTAGTTGACCATGACCGACTCCATGGCCTTGATGAGGCGCCGCTGGATGTAGCCCGTCTCGGCCGTCTTCACGGCCGTGTCGATCAGACCCTCTCGGCCGCCCATGGCGTGGAAGTAGAACTCGGTGGGCGTCAGGCCGGCCAGGTACGAGTTCTCGACGAAGCCTCGCGACTCCGGTCCGTAGTCGTCCTTGATGAAGTGCGGCAGCGTGCGCTTGCGGAAGCCGAAGGGGATCCGCTTTCCCTCCACGTTCTGCTGGCCCACGCACGCGATGACCTGAGAGATGTTGATGGGCGAGCCCTTGGAGCCGGCCACCACCATGGCCTTGAGGTTGTTGTACTCGCCGAGCGAGTTCTTGGCGGAGGCGCCGGTTTTGTCACGCGCATCGTTGAGGATGCGGTTGACGTGGTTCTCGAACGTCTGTCGCAGCGTGTTGCCGGGCGTGGGCTCCAGCTCGTCGTTGTGCGCCTTCTCGATCACCTGGATCACGTCCTCCTTGGCCTTGCGGATGGTGTTCTGGATGTCGGAGTAGGTCTCCGGGTCGGAGATGGTATCGCCGATACCGATCGAGTGGCCCTCGTACAGCAGCCAGGCGTTCACCACCGACTGGATGTCGTGGTAGAAGTGGCCGCAGATCTCGTGGCCCAGCTCCAGCCAGCAGATGTGCAGCAGCGAGCCGGCCGATGCGCCCAGTGACTTCTTGCACAGAATGCCCATGATCAGCTCGCCGTTGTCGACGAGCACCTTGGTGTCGCCGGGCGAGATCCACTTGTACGGGCCGTGGTCTTCGTCGTCCGGGTGCACCGAGTGCGTGCGGATCATGTTTACGTTGCCCGGGATGATGAGCGAGAACAGCTGCTTGCCGGTCCACAGCGGGCGCGGCTTGAGCACGGCCGGCACCGGGATCTTGCCGTCCCACGTCGGCAGGAACATGAGCAGGTTCATCATCTCCTCCTTCTCCAGGAACACGTCGCGCTTGGTCATCTTGCGCACGGCCGTCAGCGTGTCCTGCACGATGCCCATGACGGGCTTGTTGGACTGTGGCGTGACGATCATGCGCGGTGTCACGTGCATGTTCTCGATCTCGGCGCGCGTCTCCATCGACTGCGGCACGTGCAGGTTCATCTCGTCGCCGTCGAAGTCGGCGTTGTAGGGCGATGTGACACTGAGGTTCATCCGAAACGTCGACCAGGGAAGCACCTTGACGCGGTGGCCCATCATACTCATCTTATGCAGCGTCGGCTGCCGGTTGAAGATAACCAGGTCGCCGTCGATGATGTGCCGCTCCACCTTGTAGCCGCACTGCAGGTGCAGGTCGGATGGCTTCGGGTGGAAGCGCAGGTCAATGCGCTCGCCGTTGTCGCGGATGATGTACTTGGCGCCCGGGTACTGGTTGTTGCCGCGCTTCACCAGGTCCTGCATCTTGTCGATATTGAACGGCGTCACGATCTCCGGGTAGGTGAGGTTGAGCGCGATCGACTTAGGCACGCCCACCTGGTCGATGCGTAGGTTCGGGTCGGCCGTGATGACGGTTCGCGCCGAGAAATCTACTCGCTTTCCCATGAGGTTGCCTCGGATGCGACCCTCCTTGCCCTTGAGGCGCGCCTTGATGGCCTTGAGCGGGCGACCGCTCTTCTGCATGGCGCGCGGCAGACCCGGCATGTCGTTGTCGGACAGCGTGGCCACGTGGTACTGTAGCATCTTGTGATTCTCGAGGATGATGTGCGCGGCGGCGCCGGCCGCCTCGTTCTTAATCAGCTCGTTGTTGGCCTTGATGATGTCGGCCAGCTTGTGCGTGAGGTCGTCCTGGTTCTTGGCCGAGCCGAACATCATGACGGCCGGCCGCACGCAGAGCGGCGGCACCGGCAGCACCGTGATGATCATAAAGTCGGGCCGAGCGAACTTGAAGTCCATACCGAGCAGGAAGCACTCCTCGTCCGAGATGTGCTTGAAGATCTCGTAGACGCGCTCGGCGGTCAGGTTGATCTTCTTCTCCTGCGAGTCCTCGTTGACGTGCTTCCACTCGGCGGTGAGGTCGAGGCCCGAGCGGCGGATGCGCGGCTGGTACCGGCCGCAGCCGCCGTGGCCCTTCACCTGGCCCGGGTCGTCGCCGCCGCCCTCCTTCTGCAGGTCCAGCTCGTCGCCGCCCTCGCAGATGTTCTTGCCCTTGCACAGGTCGTACACGTGCGTCATGCGCTTGCGCGGCTGGCCCTTGGACTTGAGCACGATTTCCTTGATCTTGGGGTTGGTCGGTGTGACGAGCAGCTTGGAGCAGTAGAAGCAGACGCAGCGCAGGATCTTGATGCTGGTGGTGAGGAAGCCCGGGTGGAAGACGGGCTTGGCCAGGTCGATGTGCCCGAAGTGGCCGGGGCACTCTGTCATGTTGCCGGCGCACGTCTGGCAGCGCGAGAGCCGGTCAATGACGCCCTGGCGCGGGTCCATCAGGCCGCCCAGCTTGGGCCGGCCGCCCTCCATCGTCTCCGGGTACTTGATGCCGCCTTCGGTGACCGACATGCGGCGCAGCTCGTCCGGGCTCAGGATGCCGAACTGAATCCGCTTGATCTCGCGCAGAGGCGCCTTCGAGTCTCCCGACGGCACGGCCATGGCGGCGCGGCTGGGGCGCGGCTGGGGCGCACCGCGCGGTCACTGGTCTGGAGCACGCGCTCTGCAACAGGCCGACGCGCCATCAGCGTGAGCGCGGGAGCGCCGCCACAAGCACGGCGGGGGTTCACGCGTAAGTTGCCGTAATTTCAGCACCATATGCTAGACTGGTCCACACGCCATTTGAAAACCACCAGGGCATCAAGTACTGCAGTAAGGGAGAGTTTCCATATATCAGCACTGATTACCACCGATAACCATTGACTTTATACACCCATTATGCTCAATGACTTCAGATCACCAGCAAACCTGCACATAAAATGCACCTCCGTGCACTTCCACAACACTCCACCACACATAAGTGTCAAATTAGATTTCGTGATTGAAATGAGTGCTGAGATATATAGCATATGGTTCCAAAGTCTCCGTGGAAACACTGGTTAGCCAACACCAGCTGGCAGGTGACCGGCACTGCCCACCAGCACTGCACCTCGCCTTGTTATGTCAATGTTCGGATATGGACATGATGGTAATACCACATGGCATGTGCCCTGTGATGTGGTAGGCCTGCTCATCAGCAGGCCCAAAAGCAGGCTGCTTCAACACCTCTGTCAAAATATGGGAAGCCAACATGCTCTAGCCATCTCACACTTGTATACTGTATACACATCAGTGTAACATCATGTCACCACATGACTTTGTCTGCCAGCCAAGGTATAATGCTTCTTGGCAATGTCATACTGCGGTGAGGAGGCAGTACCTGCTATATGATGCCACTTAGTCTGGACCCCGTCTGGCCTTCTTTGGTACAATGCTATTCAATCTACAACCCCCCTGTCAGTATTGGGATATGCAAACCAGTATTTCCCCCCCCCCTGCCCACAAAAACATATTCTCTGTCTTGGCTCTGGACACATTGTGTATAAACACATAACTGGGGGCCATTTGCGAGTTACCTGGATTTACAACACAGCTGTGGCCACATAAATAGGCTTCAAACAACAGGAAACATCAAAGTTGGTCCCACCATCCATGCACTACCAGACTAAGCCTTTCCTACCTCATGGAACAGTTACAATGCACGTGGACATACAGGCTTTCAGCCCTCTTCTCGATGACTATGCTGTTCACAATTTTAAAAAAAAACATTTTGGCATAATATACAGCCAAACCAAACCAGAATGTTATGCCCTCTCCCCCCATCATGGCTTGATTTTAGAACATAAAAAACTCTCATGACTTGCATAACTTAATTTACAGGCAACCCCAGTATGCACCACAACACACCCAACACATCTCAAAAACATCAACACACCAAATGCATCCATATCAAAACCACACCTGACGACAGATGAACATGTGTCACCTGCAGCTAGATAGACTGCAGCCTATATTGATACTCGATTCAAACCACTTTTGTTCCATTGGCCAGCGTTATAATTCTGTAACATCTGTGTGAATTTCAGTATTTGTGCTTAGTTCTAAAGGTTAGAGCACTTTCACAATAAAACTTTGTTAATTATGGAACGTACCCACCACAAAGATTGCAGCGCATGAAAACTGGTTTAATAACAAGCACAGCCAACAGTACAAGTTTAGCAACCCAGTGCAGCATCACCAACAGGCCAGGTAATTACAAGCTTCTCAGCACACTCATATCAGGTTAATCTAAAGCAGTACTGGGGACTGCAAAAGTAAAGAGCAAAAAGGAAGCATGCAATTTTGACCACATTCAGGGTTTTCAAATGGCTTTTGCACCCGAAATGGTGTCTTGTGACAATGCTTTTCATCTGTCGATCAAATATCATACATCAATAACATTGAATGTCACAGAGATCAAAATGTCATGGAAAGAAGCACTACTGACAAGTTATGAAGGAATGCCACTTCCAAAACAAGCCACAGTGATCATAGCCTGCAGTGGAACATTCTACATTTCCCAGCTAGAAAGTTAATTACTAAGACCTTTTCTGCTGTGGCTCCACCAGTGCACCATAATACCAAGCCTTTCACAACACTATCACTGGGCAGTTGGCACTTGACAAAGCCATGAATAACCTATGGCCAACTTAACACTTGACAGCACCAGTGAACACTAGCCTGGCACTGATCACACTGCCTTGAGATTGCCAAACATCATAATCTTGTCCGCAATGACATCTCTACTCTGCATTTTGTTGACAAGCTAGTTGCATATTATGACACCCATCTTGTGGTTCTAATCAAAGCGCACAATTTCTGCCTGACATGTGCCTTCTAGCATTGTATTCTGCAAAGCTTTATGCATGGGAAAGAGTGCAAGCACCTGTAGTTATCTATTGTCCCATGCGCCAGATGGGCAAGCCAACTTTGGTGTTTGTCTAATGCTATGTGTTCTGTAATATTGCACAAGAAACTATGTCACACTACTATATCATCAAAGTTGCTGCTTATGAGCGCACAAAAAATGACTGCTGAATGATTTCTGTCAAATGACAGCATACTTCAATACAGGATTTTCCTCCCTTATCTGTACCTTTAGAATGAATGAATTTCTAGGATCAGATCTCACACTAAGCAGTGCTTCTGTGAGCCCTGACCCTTACCATTTCATTACACAATTCCAGCTCAATGGCAGAATTTTGTGGCCAAAGTCTCAACAAGCTACAATGCTTGGCACAGTCTATCCCACACACTGACATCATCTGACCTTATGCCACTGCCACCACCTGCGTGACACACCTGCCAAGGGAAAATAGTGAACACCTACAATGACTTAACCCACTCTGCCATGGGTGCGTGGATCAGAATGGTGCTCTATCTGGTGAAATGTGGATGTGTGAAGTGAAATTTTGGGACATAAGTTCCTCTGAGAGAATGCACACATTATGCAAATATGGCATATATGTAATATGTGATATAACAGATAGGAGTGACAATTCATCGAGACACAGGCAGCCTGAAGACCAAACAAACTACATTTGTCATAAATGTGTTATGGCTGTCTTTTTGACTGCAGTCTTATGCTGATACGCTATGGATGAAACCAATCATGCTACAACCCTGTAGCTGGAGATCAACCAATTAAATCATGGTGCTCAAACAAAACTTTTAACAATATTATATATAAATATAATATATATTTTGCACACACTAGCTTCTCCTGTTTGACTGAACAGCTTGACCAGCCATAAACAACCACACAACATAAGTGAATGGCCACATGATGGCTTTGAAACCGCCAGATTTCATTTTTCAAATGGTGAAATACTTGATGCATTATGCTTTATATATGGTGACTTGATGGAATCAAAATGTTGGATGGTAAATTGAATGTGATTCTGACCTATCTCGAGCAGAGCTGTAAGGTTAAGCAGCATCTAAGATGCACAAATTCAATCATGCGGTTAATGTCGTATCTGCCCCAGGCGTAAAACCACCAGCCGCAGCTCCCAGTAGAAAAGTTGCCTGCTCCTTCTAAGGCATGATTGGAACAATATGTTTAATAATATTCACTAAACACACTTTCATAAACATAAAAAATAATTTGATACCTAATATTTTGATATCATATTTTGTCAGCTGGGTGGTCACCCTTTGAAGAATGAGTTAACACATTTCACACCATTTCATGAGGGGCTATGGATTATGCCACATACAGTTGCACCCAGAAACAATGATGCAAACATGATCAAACCTTCACTTACAAAAAGTCCAAAGATGCAAAATTTGCCCTCAATGAGAATGCACACCCCTACCCTAGCCACAATGTATGATGAGAAGACAGCTGTCACCAACCTTCCAGGTTCAAAGTCTAAACAGACTAATGGTCCCTACACGAAACTCAACTGTGTTGCTCAGAAAAATGCCAGCATGTTGATTTGTAATAAATCAATAGTGGGGCGCTTAGCCTTAGCGCTTTCACAGGCATCAAATTCAAGCTAAAACATTTTGACAAGTGTGGCGCGGCCGACGGATGGAGGCGACAGATCATCATGACAGACATCGAAGCTAAGAACTTTCAACATAAACATGCTCCCACAAAATACTCATTGCATACGTCATCAGTCGTAAACAACTTCAATTTGCATCATACATGCGGTGAAAACGTCAGTAATACCGCGCCCCTGCGTACCTCCACGCCGCACCAATGGCGAACAACAGCGGCTGCGCCAAATGTGTCGTCTTATATACCCTCGACCAAGGTTGCGTCTATTGATTCGTCACTATGTTGTGCAATATTCACTTCTATTTATCCGTCACTATGTTGTGCCAATTCCCGCCGGTCAAGTGAATCAGTCAATAACAGTCACACTGAGATGGTCTTTTTAATCCATGAAAGTATTTGCACAAGAAAACGTCGCTACCTCCATCTTGCGTTTTCTCAAAATTGGTGCATTTGGCCTGTGCCACTGGCGTAACGAAGCACAACTCGCGAACGCGTACGTTGTAGTAGGAGCGGATCCAGGTTTTCGTCAAGGATGGTCACGCAAAATTGTGGGTCCCTAGAGGTAAGGGCCCCCTCAAAAAATATACTTGCATTCCGGTAGGTACATTTTGAGACATAGAATATAACAAATATATATATATATATATATATATATATATATATATATATATATATATATATATATTGACGCCAAAAACGACCACAAAATAAACATCGTCATTTATTATCGTAATAAGAAATATCTAACTTTTTATGAGAAACAGCCCAGACAAACACGACAAGCTAAAATGCACCAATGTAGTGCATCAATTCAAATGCAACATCGAAGGCTGCAAACTTCGTTTCATACACTACATTGGTGCTAACACAACGACTCTCTCACGACGACTGACAATGCACTTACGTGACGGGGCACCTCTGGACCACGTGCGACATGAACACGATAGGACTTTGACGGGACAACAACGGACAGACAACACTGGCATTTTACAGACGTGCAACGACAGAAGATGCCTTCAAATTTGGGAAAGTATGCTCATTAACGAACTCTCTCCAGCCCTAAACAAACAAATTCTTGCACAACTCTTGAATTATTAGGTGGTGGGCGGTGAGCATTATTGATGCGCATATGTATCAGTGAGCACTTAATTGACATTGAGGAAATAGTGTTATCATTGTGTCTTTGTAGTGTTCCCATTATAAGTGCATCTTACATGCATCAAAGGGAAAATAGGATTCTGTCTTACTTCAGTTAGCCATACTTCATTTATGTTCTCCGTACCAAAATATGTTTTTCAATAACAGTGGACAATTTTTTAACCTTTAAGACCGAAAACATATTTCTTGCGCCATTCAGTCTTCTCCGACCATGAGATAGGATTTCGAAACGTTAGTATGTAAAAAGCGACGGATGTATGGGTAATTTTGTACGAACCATCTTCAATCTAAGCCATAATGCCAAGTCAAAAGCCGAGAAACTAGAACAATGTGTTAAAAAGCTTGACAAAGCTGAGTCAGCATTATTTTTAATAAAACATGTATAAAAGAAGGGATTCTGCCAAAATACTATATATATATATATATATATATATATGTATATGTATATAAAAGGCCAGTTTACTGTGTGCAGCCCTTTACAGCTAGGCGTGCTACGCATGTCTATACAAATAGCTCATTCAGGCTCTACAGATCATGTTAAATCATGTAATTTTGAAGTTAAGTATTTCGGAACAGCAGGCAAAATTAATTCGAGTTGGCTGTTAAAACCTATCAAAACCAAGCACGAGCTTGACTCCTAGCCTATTTTCATGTAGCCGGATGGGCGATATAATCAACTGATGGTAGAAAAGTAGTACACAATATTCTAGCATCCAAAATACATTAAGTAAGTGATGCACTACTATAATACGTGTCCCACACTCAATAGCCAATGGAAATGGTACGTACGATGTCGGCGGTGCGTAAAATCACGTTCGACAATTGCGTGCAAAGAAGTCATCGGCGCATATCCGACTGCTGCTCCAGGGCGAATGCACCGAGACCAATAGGGGCGGGACCTGAGCGACCGTGGGTGCCGCAGGAGGCCAACAATCTGGTCCCCGTAGACAAGTCTAGGGTCCTCAAAGCAAGCAAAAGGAGCGCAAGACTAAGGTGGTGGGCCCATGAACGGCCGGTAGTGTCCTGGCAGGCTGACATGTAAGGATCCGGCCAGAGCACAGTTCCCTTTGAGCAAAGGGTTTTACCCAAGACCATGAGTTAATACCGCTGTACGATCAAGAGTGCACGGGCAGACTAACAGAGAAAGCCTCGATAGGAGCGAAGAGTCCTCCACAAAGGAGATCAAAGGGAAGGAGCCCTCGATCAAAATAGAGGGCCTCTGAGCGTCGAGTGTCTCGGTGCCTTATCTTATAAGCACTTCAGCAACAGCACAAGGCCCCCCCCCAAGCAAGTCGAAAGAACCCGAGACTTTTATGAGGGCCCCGAGGACCCCGGAAAAAGCGTGTAGAGCTTTTCGGGCAAATGGGAAGAATCCGTGGAGGAAAACCTGCATAGAGCAAGAGTGTCCAGGTATGGAAAGGGATAGCGTCCCAACGTCAGCGTTAGGCCCTACGAGAAAATGCAAAGAGGTCAAGGGAAACGTGAAATGCTTCTTGGCGATCAGATTGATCAGGCAAATGGACGCCTAGGGCCAGGGCAACCAACAGCGTAATGCCTCTCGGCAGCGTAATGAGCCACACAATTTCCCCAGAGCAACAACTTCTCAACTAGCGAAGAATTGACTTCGTCCACTTGTGAACTTTTTTACTTTTACTGACATTGTTCTTTGTCGTCTGTAGGCCCAAAGGCGTCCAATTTTGTTGTTTTGTTGAATTTTGTTGTTAGAAAACTGCGTCCGTTCGGTCAGTTATGGGACCCTTCGAAGCCTTTAGGTGTCCTCGGTATGGTCCATGACGCAATCGTTCCGTGCCTATAGCCACCCTTTGCATCCGCCACCGGCCCGAGCAACTTACTAGATAGGATCCGCCAAGAACACAGGGCCATCCATTCAAATAGGAAGCACTCAATACCCAATGAAAAGGGCCCCCGAATGATCGAGTGTGCCAGAGCAGGTGAACATATAGGGTCCCCGTCGAGAGCGAAAGGCCCTCCATCTAAGTAGGAAATACCCGAGACCCAATGTAGAGAGCACTAAATGATCGAGTGTGCCCAAGCAGATTGTTAGATGACCCAGCAGGAGTGTAGTGGCCTAAATTCAAACACCAGGACCCAATAAATAGAGCCGCCGCACTCACCAGCGTGGCCGAGGAGACGAACAGATAGGTTCACGACCAATGCGTAGGGCCGCCTATTCAGATAGGAAGTACCCAAGACACAATGTGGAGGGACCCGAATAATCAAGTTTGCCAGACTAAGTTAACAGATGAGGCCCCCGACAAGAGCTTTGGGCCTTCCGTTCAAATATGAAATACTCACGACATAATGTAGAGGGCCCTGAATGATCGAGTGCGTCAGAGCAGGTTAACAGATAGGGCCCAGAAAAGAGCAGACGGACCTCCATTCAAATAGGAACTGCCCAAAACCAGATGTAAAGGTCCCCAACGATCGAATGGACCCAAGTACTTTATCAGAAAGGGCCCGACAAAACCAAAAGTCCCTCCATTCAAATAACAAGTACCCAAAACCCAATGTGGACGGCCCCCGAAAGATGGAGCGTACCCGGGCATGCTATCAAATGACTCCGATAGGAGCGCAGGACCCTAAATTCAGACACCAAGACCCAACGTGCAGAACCCCCCTCCCCCCAAACAACCCAGTGTGGCCGAATAAGCTGTCAGAGGGGCTCCCGACAAGTGCGTAGGGCCCTCTATACAAATAGGACGTGCCCAAGACCAAATAAAGAAGAGGGAAGGACCCAGCGACAGCGCAGGGCCCTCCGAGCAAATGCAAAGAAATCAGGAGCAGCGTGGAAGACTCGTTAACGATCGGAATGCCCCCGCAAGTGGGCATATAGGGCCTCCAGAAACAGCATATTACCCCTAGACAGTGTAGTGAGGCTCAGAATTCCCAATTCACAATTTTCCAATCATCGAATAATTTTTTTTCACTTTTCCTGGGCCGTTCACCTTTGTTTGCAGCTATTTTTGGTCGTCTGGAAGCCCAAAATGCTCAATTTTGTTGCATTCTTTGTTAAAAATTGCAGCTGTTGAGCCGGTTATGATCCCCCTTGGAGCAAATGGGCTCCTTCGGGGCCCAAGGGGGGCATGACCCCGTGCCCCCCCCCCCTCCCTATGGATCCGTCCCTGCGTTGTTATTTTCGTGTCTAAAGGGAATATTCCACATTTTAAGATATTAATGCGAGCATCAGTTATGATAAGGTAATCTCACTTGCAATAGCGGCGTGTCCAAATTTGGGATCGGGGACAAAGATTTAAAGAAAGGCCGCCAAACCGTTGGGCCCCTACATTTAAATGAGGCTGTTTAGTTAGTCGCAATTGACAGTTATATTAGACATGCATAACACAGTACTGGTAGCCCTATTCCTCGTCGAATAATCAAGAGAAAGGGAAAAGCGATCATGAATATTTCACAATGTATTGGGTATTGATGAATAACGCACAGAGGCTGAAATCCAGGGAGGTACGGACCCTATAACCTTTTTGGAACTCAAAGTCAAACACAGAGCACAGGGCCATCTAAATAGGACAATTAGTGAGTCCATTCCAATAAAAAGTCGGCGACCACACCAAAATGTGCAGGGCTCGTCATGGCCGATTATGTGAATGTCATTAGTGCCTTGATGCGTGATGCGTGGTAGCTTGAAATCGTCTGAATATATGAATGATGCATGATACGTGATGCGTGATGCCCGTATTGAAATAAGACAGACTCTGACCCTGAGGAGCACATATGCATGAATATTTGCGTATGAACACATAACTAACAATACAACTTAACATCACAACGTTTGAATCCTTTTTACGATATTTTTGACGACTTTTTTACCGCTGAAGGGTATTGGCTTTTAAACAACTCACACGACTTTTGCCCATGAACTTCGGACCGAGAATGTTTGCGACGATAGTTTCCCGGTGAATATTTTGTCACACAACCTGCATCTTTTGTACTTTTTGCACGATTAACTTTCGCATGACAAGCTCTTAAGCATACCTATGTTGTTCTACTAAACCTTGGCATGCTAACTTTATC